ATTTTTAAGGAAAATTGATACTTTCAACTTTTCCCTAAAAATATTTTTTGGAAACTTTGATTTTCAAGGAAAATTGATACTTTCAACTTTTCCTCAAACTTTTTTTGAAATTTTATTTTTAAGGAAAATTGATACTTTCAATTTTTTCCCAAAAATATTTTTTTTGGATTTTATTTAAAGAAAATAAAATAATAAAACAAAATAAAAGTGAGAAATAAAAAAAATAAAGAAAAGTAAAACAAAAATAAAAATAAAATAAAAATAAAAGAACATTAAATAAACCTAATCTAATAAATAAATAAATAAATAATTTTTTTTTTAAAAAACTTGGAACGGCTCGAAAAACGGCTTGGCTCGGCTCGGTTCAAGGAAGAAAAATGGCTCAGAGAAGTAGCCCGGGATGTCGGCTCGGCTCGACTAATGACTCGGGGAAGTGAAACACGCGTAGGTCGTAAAGCGGGTCGACGCTCGGGTCGGGTCGGATCTCGACAAAATGCGCGAATCCTTTAGGTTGTTTAAAGCAAAAACGATGTCGTTTTGAGAGGGTATATAAGGCTGTTTCCTTTATTTTTCGACAGAAACCTTCTCCCCTCTCTCTCTCTTTTTCTTTTTTCTCTCATTTCTCTCTAAAACGGTCGAAAAACTTCGGTTGAATATTCATCGGATTCTAGAATTTTTCGTCAAAATCTGGGTCTTTCGTCGAAAGTTCGTCGAAAAGTTGGTCGATTTCTGAGATTCTTCACCGAAAACTGGGCAGCTGGCCAGAATTGTCGCTAAAAAATTCAACTTTCACCAAAAAATCACCGAAATCTAAAAATTTTCCAGAAATTTCCAGAAAAAATTTTCGCCAAAAATCTCCAAAATTTTTTTTTAATTCCCACAACTATTCTAACACTTCTCAACCTTATTTTAGCCTTCAAAAATCTTCTATACGCCCCTTTTCTCTTAATCAGTAGCTTTTTGCTCACTGTTTTTCTATGTGTTATTCCTTCTGTTCCAGTACTTATTTATAAGGATTGATCAGAAGAGTTTTTAATTCCTTTTTGGATGGAGATTCAATCTTTGAATCCAATTTGAATTCTAATTGAATCCCCATTCACGGTAGGATTCTTCAAATTCAATCTCAGCCCAAAAAAGAAATCAGAAAAACGAAATAAAAAAAAATTAGATAAATGAATAAAATTAAAAAAAAATTAACAGATAATTAAAAAATAATAATAAGATAAATAAAAAAATATAATAATAATAAATAAATTATAATATAATAATAAATATATAACTAGATAAATAAAATACATATATAAATATTAACAAAAAAATAAAGATATACATATATTAATACATAGTAATAATAAATAAATAAATAATAAATACATAAAATACAAAGGAAAAAATATAAAATAAAAATAAAAATAATATAAAATACAAAATAAAAGCCAAATTGGGCTTACCCATTTGGATCAGGCCCAATTGATTCAAGCCTGGACCAAATTGGGTGTCTACAGTACTTCTATGCAAATAAGGATAGAAATTGTTGAAAATAACATCATCACTGGTATACAAAGTTTTGAAAAGGAAATATTTCCCAAATGCGGACCTTTTAGAAGCAAAGTTGAGAAACAACTTACCCCTCACGTGACGTAACATTTGGGGTGCTTTAGGCTTGCACAAACATTGTATTCGGTAGAGAATGGGCATAAGTGAAGGAATGAAAACATGGAAGGACAAATGGGTGGAAGTCAAGAGTGAGTTAAAACCCTTATAAATTAAAGAGAGCTTGGATGAGAACATGCTTGTGAGTGCTTTGATTGATACTAAAACCAAAAAATGGAACAAGGACTTGGTGTATAGCTTGTTCATAGTGAAAGAGGCCGATGCCATTTGTGTTACCCTAATAAGATCGCTAAATCAGCTTGATACACTGATATGGCACTATAATAATAATGAAGTATACACGGTTAAAAGTGGAAACAAACTCCTAATGAAAGATATGAAGGCCATGGTGGATGATCAGTTCATAAATGGATGGGATATGGCCCAATGAAAGAGATTATGAAGAATAAATATACCAAATAAATTGAAGGTATTTGAATAGAAAATGATCTATGAGATTTTGCCAATGACATCAAAGCTAATGACGAGAAAGATAATTGGAGAAAAAATTTTTCCAAGATGTGATGAATCGAGAGAGTAAGTTATTCATGCTCTATGTGCCTGTCTTTAGCAAATGAGGTTTTGCAACTTATAGGGTTTGCATGGGAAAAGAGAGGATGATAGTATTAACAATGTTGCAAATTGGACAAAAATAATGGATGAAAAATTGGATGCAAAAATGTTTGGCTATTTCATTACAACAATCTGGGCTATATGGAACAATAGAAATGAAATAATGTATAGAGAAACCAAACGAGGCCCATAACAAACCTCTAGATTTGCAATGTCACTTTTAGAAGAATGGAAAGTAACCCCAATGATAAAAAGAAAACCCATGCAATAATAGATTTTAGGGTTGGAAAACACCACTAAGTATAGAGATAAAAGTGAATTTTGATGGGGTTTTCAACAAAAACATGTGAGTAAGAGGAGTGGGGGTCAGAATAAGAGATCACAAAGGAAAAGTGCTAGGGGCTCTTGTTGTAAGAGTACATGATGTACAAAATGCATGGATGGTAGAAAGCTGGGTAGCATTCAAAACTTTAAAGCTAGCTAAGGATATGGGGTTTTTAAAAATCATACTGAAGGGTGATGCATTAAGAATCATTAAGAAGTTGGAAACAACATGCATGGATCTTTCTTCCAACGACATAATCCTTGATGAAGTCCGAAAGCTCAAAGGAACAATGCATAGTTGCATGTTCAGGCATACAAGACATGAGGGGAACATTGTAGTGCACCAATTGGCAAAACATGGGGAACAAGTTGAGAGCAATTTAATTTGGGTAGAGGAGTGTTTCGATTTCTTGATTGATATTGTTGGAAAGAATTGTAATGGTTCTTAAATTTAATACTCCCTCTGGCCTTTTTTTTTGTCTAATTTTCCTTTTTAGGATGATATAAAATTATGTCTTATTTTCTTTTTTAAACATTTAAAACTCTTACTTTTTATATTTTAAAGTTATTTTTCATTATTATTTTTTTACTTTTTAACAATTAAAATCATGAAATTTTAATTTTATAAAATTTTTTATTTTAATATTAAATATATTAAAATAAAAATTTTTTTTTCTTAAATTTCGTGAAAGTCAATACAAGACAAACAAATAGCGACGAAAAAAATATAATGAATGCTCTTCTCTTAAAAAAAAAAAAAGACACATTTGGTGGAAGGAGTATTCATTTTGATAAATTTTAATATATTGACTTTTTACCTTCCTACGTAGAGATGTAATCTATACAAGCTTGATTGGTAAATCTAAATTTTAAATCAATTCATTTAAACCTTTCATTAGTTTAAAAAACATTAAAACATGTTAATTGATATGTGATTTGTTGATAGAATGTTAGATTTTTAATTTTATTGATTAAGTTTAGATAACTTTAAATATAATAAAAAATATTAAAATATTAATTTTTATATCAATATTTTAATATTTAAAATATATTTTATAATTATAATTAAATAAAAAATTTATTTTTTTATCAATCAAATATATAATATTATACATCGAATTTGTGCTTGGAAATTCCCTACAAAGACACAATATGCGGGTTCAGCTACTCGTCAAGCCCACAAACATGCTTTCTGTCCAATACAACCGGGGTTAGTAATATATACAGGAGCCTATTAATACATTCGTGAAAGTTAATTTTTTTGTTTATTTAAATTTTCATACATACATAAGACATCCTTTCCTTTATTTGTTTCCATAAAGATCGTTTTCTCTTATTTTATACTTTTTATTTAAGAAATGAGAAATGATATTTCTCCTACTTATAACCTTAAAACATTGCAAATCTCAAACAAATTTTTCGATGATTTTTTTAAGATAGTTGCTCTTATAAAATAATTTGTATTAGGGTTAATTTGGATATGTGATAAGATTAATTTTAGTAAAATTAAAAATAATAGTGAAAAAAAATTAATTATTATAACGGTGAAATTAAAATTATTGATAAAAATATGTATTTAGATGTAAAATAATTGTGAGAGTGAAATGAAATGTAATTAGAATAAAAATAACCATTAAAGATATTAAATTAAAATTTGTGTATAATAAAAAATTTAAATTATTTAACATTTATAAAATTTAAAAAGAATTAAAAATTATTAAGTTATTTTTATGATAAATAATAATTTTGTTTATTAAATAATAGTTAAAAATTAATAAAAAATAATAGTTTATATATTGTAAAAAATTTTATTTATTAATTTATTAAATAATAATATTTGTTTATTATATTTCATAAATTTTAAATAAAAAATCAAAATAAAAAAATTAAATAAAAAAGATATCTTTGCATTTGTAACATAAAATGAAGTACACAAAAGGAAAAAAAATCAAAAGTTGAATTTCAATCCACCATTGGACCAAAATCGATCGGTGGGTAAACGGAGGTTAAAAATCTCACTGTGTTGCTGTGATGACATTTAAATGAATATCTATTGCTGATTGGCACAAAATCTTTTAGTAACTGCATATGTGAAGGAGCTGCTAATACCGAATGCAACCTTAATTTCTTCGGGCTATACAAAAGCGTAAAATTTTCTTGATAAAAAACCTCCACGTTTAGTCAATTTTGGCACAAACTAGTAAATGCTTTCGATTTAATTTTTTAAAAAAGATTTTAAAAATATATTTTTTCATTGATTCGATATATTTAAAATTTTATTTTTGAAAAATTCTCAAGAATTAAAATCTAATTAAAAAAACTCATCTTTTCTTGAATTCCATTGAATTTTGTGTCAATAATATTGACAAAAAAAGTAATATTTTCCATAATAATTTCATAAAAATAAATGAATAAACCGGTTTAATGAACCGGAAGACATAAGAGCGGGTAGTCCATTCCCTTGCGGGCCTGGACGCCACGAAAAGTAGCATCGCATATATTAAACCAAACGCTAAAACGAATAAAGAAAAGGCAGATTCCAGAAACGCCTACCTCTCTCTTTTCTCGAAAACCCTAGCGTCCTTAACACAATCTGGTTTGCTCTCGGCATCCATGGGTATTCCTCTGCATGTTTCTCTTTTCGAATTTTTATTTCTTGAATCTCTCTTTATTTTACCATCAGTACCGATTGTGTTTGTTTTCCTTAATTCTGGATCTTCTTGATTTACTCACTGATTTTTTGAGTTTTGATCTCGTTTCATCGAAAATTTCACTCAATTTTATCTGCTCTTTATTCTTTGTAATTACAATTTTTTTATAAATTAAAATTGTAGTTTTCACATTATTGAGATTAGGCTTTCAGAATATGAACTGAACTGAAGTTTATTAATTAAAATTCCTATTAGTTGAGTAGGGCTATAAATTGTATGAAATTTGTTTGTAATAATATTATCATTATTTCTTAACTCGCTTTAGCCTCAATGTGTGCAGCAGTGGTGAAGATTGATAATTATTGGAATTAACGTGTCCAAATTTCTTCTGTTTTTTCTTTTTTATTTGGTAGATATTGAGGCCGAGATCCGTGCATTGCAGCTTAACTCTGCAGGTAGTATTACTTTTATTGTATTTATATATGAATAAGATATAGATTTTGGTTTGCCTTTTTTTTTTTTTTGGAATCTCTTTTTTTGAGTTATATTCTTGACTCTTAACAGAAGATAATAATGGTGTGGTCAATCCTGAAGTTACAAAACCAGAAGAAGTTGAAATCTCAGATAAGTTGGAGGAAGGTTGGTAGTATCGTTGAACTTTGTATTTATATGGTCCTTACCTTCTTATGTTAATGAATGTGTTGGGGAAGATGAGAATTGGACAGAATTAGAGGAGAGATTGTCTTTGCAGAAATTCATTTAATACTTTATAAATTGTGACTTACATTTTTTGCTATCTCCAAGATGGCATTTCAGAGTTTTTATGCTAACTAATTTCCATTGATGTTTTGTAGTTACAGTGAGATTGCATAAAAATAGAAAATATACTGTTTTCTAAGGTTTTTTGGAAGCTTTTAGATATAATTCATGGTTGACTTTCCTTTTTTTTTGGTGCAAAAATGATATCTAATGAGATATTTTGATCCCTAGGCAAGTAAATCATGTTGTTTTCTCACATATTGCATTGTGTGATAGCATTTGATACTAAAATTATAATTCATGACAGATCTCTAGGTGCTATGTTTTCTTGTGTCTTAGATGTGTTATGAATTTATATTGCTGCATGCAAACTGTGGCAGCATGTGAATTGCAATGCTGATTTCAATTCAGTATGTGAATTGCATTGCCTTAGGATTTGGTCTCTGACATGGTACATGTTCGACATAGTGTGTCAGTTTTTTACATTTAAGACCGTACATCATTCTCCTCTAAATTAAAGCATTAAAGAGTTGCGGGACAAAGGTATAGTAGGATAAAGTAAAGAGTCTATGTAACATAGTCAATCAGATGCATTATATACTTGTTTTCTTTCTTGATGGACTTAAATCTTTTGTTGACTGTCTCTATTTCTACATTATTATTTTATAAAGGGCAGGCAGGTAAATGTATTGTTGGTATTTACCTCTTTTTCCAATTTAGACACCAAATCAGGTGCACCTTAGATGTTAATTTTTTTGGCATTTTCTCTAAATTTTCTTCTTACTCTTTCTTTTGCTATTGGTGGTTTCAGGTGTGAAGGATGAGGTTGATACAAAATCTCAGGCGGTCCAGGCTGAGCCAAAAGGTTCCTTCATTCTGTTTTCTCTTCTTTCCTATGCTTATCTGTATTATGTATGTCACATTAATATTCCATTTGTCATTTTCTTGTTCTCATTTTTAATTTGGTTGTGCTGTGAAAGACAAGGAAGTAGCTGCACAAGAGGATGCAGAAGCATCGGTTGAAATGGAAACAGAAAAGAAGCGCCACTTGAATGTTGTCTTTATTGGTCATGTTGGTAGGTATTCCTACTTCATGGTTTTGCGTATGTGAAAGTTGGTATGCATTACATATTTATGTTCAGTATGAAAAGAATATGCTAAGCTAGGGAAACAGTTCAAAATTGTACTTTTAACCTCCCAAGTCCCTTATTTATTATGTGCTTTTGTGAGTTCAATCAATTGTGTGTATCAGCCATGTGCATGAATGCTGAGAAAAGCAGTTATAATTTTAATTATTACTGGACCTACTGTTTAGGAATAGGATTTTGAACTTGGGTAAGTGGAATGCTACCTTTCCTTTTTGGATAATTCAATGTTACCTTAAAAAGAGTTCAGTCTCAAGTTAAAACTGCTTTTGGTGGACTAAAAGACCAAATGATTAACATATTTCTAAGCCCTAAATGAGAAAATTAAAACAACTGTTCACAAAGGAAGTGGAACCAATGCCCGGTTATGACTGATTAGTTGCCTCATGTCTTCTCAAAATTCTTCATAAATAATTAAAAAAAAACTTATTTTAGCTATTTTTTAAATTAAACATTATCAAAGACTGCTGGTAATCAATTTCTTTTTACTGAAAAATGTCGTTTCTATATAGTATTTAAATAAATTATCTACATTGTATGTTTTAACTTTGGTTTATTTGATTCATAGATTCTGGTAAGTCAACAATTGGAGGCCAGATACTCTTCCTCAGTGGTCAGGTTGATGACCGTACTATCCAGAAATATGAGAAGGAAGCAAAGGATAAAAGTAGAGAAAGCTGGTGAGCCTTTGGTTTGGTTTACTTTGATAGTGAAAATCAATGCTGTTCCTTTTATATTTGTTTTTTCTAAAGAGCATTCAAATGCTGGGATTTGGGCTTTATATGCGTTTTTTTTGAAGGTTTTATTCTACCTGTAACAATAGAAATCAGTAACTTTCTACTTGTTTCTCATCACTGTATCATTTTCTTATTAGTTGGCTATAGCTAGTCTGCATAAAAAAGTGAATGGTGAGACATGATTTACATTAGCAGGCTTGAAATTGTAGAGTGTTTGTGACCAAGAATGCAAGAATTATGAGCCAAGATTCAATCTAGTTCAAACATAGTAGTACTAAGATTTAACCCATGATTTGAATGAGTCTCTAATTAGATGCACTGGCATAAAGTAGTTTAAGATTTAATATTCCGTTGACAGGAGGCACTGTATTAGCTGTCCTTCCAGTTAATAATCATGTATAGGGAGAGAGTGATGGGTTATGTCCTGCCTTTCACATAAATAGAATGTGGGATTTGGGTGGAGAAGGAAATGAATAATGATTATGCTCATTTCCTCAATCCAAGCAACAGGAAGGTTACATCAGGATTAAATTTACTAAAGATGTACTCATTAAAGGAGTTTATAGAACTTGAATCAGTTATTGGCTTGTTTTTAATTCGTTCTGATCAAATTGGAAACCATTTCCTTTTTCGCTTTTTATTGGATACTATAAGTGCTGAAATGTTCTTTTGTCTATTATATTATTTATTTTTTTTCTTGCTTTTGAAGATTCATGTATATTTTAGAATGTTATATCTTTCTGCAATAGACCCTTTGTGCAATTTGTATCTTTTGACAGCTTCCATCAGTTCATCCTTTTAAAATTATTTCCAATTAACTTTTAGCTTGTTGAATAGGAAATTTGATTCTATTGATGTCATCATTGTTCTCTCTCTCTCTCTCTCTCTCACACACACACACACACACACACACACACACGCGCATACCCCACACCCACCACTCTTAAGATTGCTTAATTCGCACCTGATCAATTACCTTAGTTAGAATGTCTTACAGAAAGTGTATCTTCAGCTATTGCATTATCTGACTTAGTTATTTTCTATGTGTTAGGTATATGGCATATATTATGGACACTAATGAGGAGGAGAGGGTTAAGGTACCATACAATGGGGAGATGTTACAAACTTTGAGAAATTATAGTTAATTCATGATATATTTCTTGTAACGCTATCAACATTTATTCTTGATTGGCCAAAGTACTGTTGTTACTCTAGGAGTTTATTAAATTTGAACTATTTATTGCAGGGTATAACTGTTGAAGTTGGAAGAGCACGCTTTGAGACAGAGACAACTAGATTTACTATTTTGGATGCACCAGTAAGGGGATTGCCTCTGAAATACTCTGTTACTCTTTAATTTATCTTTTCTTCTAATTAAATATTTAATTTAATTATCTGTAGGATAAGATGATAGATCTTATTTATTTATTTTACTATTTTATTTTGTAAATTGACATTTTTTTTCTGGGTCCTGATTTGTGGTTTAGTTGAATTGCTTTCCTTTAGTAGCTGTGTTGCTCCTTCTCACATTCCTCATTTGATATTATAACTTATATTACATGATGATTAAAATTATAATGAGTGCAGGATCATTTTAATAGTGCTTCAAAAATGTCTTATACAACTTAAGGTTACAGACAGCATGTCATTTTACGGTATTGTGGCACTACTCAAAAACGAGAGAAAGCAATGGCAAATATAAAACTTAAGTGTTTTCCTAGCATATTACTATTAATTAGATATTCCTTTGGGTATGTTCTCTTATTTGATCTAGAATGGAATTGAACAAAGTCATTTTGTTTTTTGACTATGGAGATTCATATTATTTTGAATTCAGATTTTGATGCATTTTGTTTGTTAAAACTAAATGTAGTTTTGCAATGACTACATAGGGTCACAAGAGTTATGTTCCAAATATGATCAGTGGGGCAGCCCAAGCTGATATTGGTGTGCTTGTAAGTTACATCTAGTGTCTTTCAATTAAAATGCATGGATTGCAGATTTTGGATTTTTATATGTCCCTGTTGTCTCTTAATTAGGTGATTTCTGCCCGTAAAGGGGAATTTGAAACTGGATATGAGAGGGGTGGGCAGACCCGTGAACATGTCCTGCTGGCAAAGACCTTGGGTGTGGCGAAGCTACTTGTAGTGGTTAATAAGATGGATGACAACACTGTCAACTGGTCTAAAGAAAGGTGTTTTGCCTGGCTTTCATAACAAGTCTGAGCTTGTGTGTTGTTTTCCTTTTGTTGTAGGTTTGTATGTTAATAGTATTGATGGAGGTCTTCTTGCACAGGTACGATGAAATTGAGTCAAAGATGACACCTTTTCTGAGGTCTTCAGGCTACAATGTGAAGAAAGGTATTGGAAGTGTTGTTAAATGACTTGCAAGTTGCAATTTTTTTGTGGCGATGTTTTCAAGCTTGTAGAACCGTCAACATATGTTATTACCATGACAGTGAGATTTTAAAACACTTACTGTGCAAAGGAAATAGAGAAGCTAACAAATCCCCTTGCATTTTTTTTAACATTTTTATGGTTGCTTATGTGATTGGACTTGTTTTCTACTTTCTAGAGGCATATGTTGAGGTTTTCTAGTCTGATATGATACCATAGAACTCTGCTGTTATATTCCAAAGAAATTTTACCTATTGTAATTTTAACACAGATGTTTAGCCATGCAGCAAGATATTGTTTTATCAAATTATTTTGGAGTTGAAATTATGGATTAGAAGCAAATAATTGCTGTCAGTTTGTCCAGGAAAGTTAGGTGCTATTTGACAAACTAAAAAAATTCGATGCAGAATGCAGGCATGTGTTGAGGTTCTTAGTCTTATATGGTACTATAGAACTCTGTATTATCATCCAAAGGAATTTTATATTTTGTAGTTTTAATATGGATGTTTGGCTATTCTGCAAGGTGTTTTAACAAATTGCTGTTAGTTTGTTTAGGAAACTTGTTGGCTGCTGAAAACTTGTGCAATATTCAATTACTTTTCTTTGCATTATGCTTTATTCTCCCAAATTGTTATGTAAAATTGTGTCTGATCAGGCTTCTGCTCCTTAAATGCTTGATATTTGAAATGTTGATGTTTCTTGCTCTTTTCGTTGTATAACTCTTAATAGGATCAGATGATGATAGCATGCTTTTTATGTTAGTGAAGTTATATTCCCATGTTAGAATCTTGGTTAATTTGCTGAGCATATAATTATGCTTTAAAACCAGTTATATTTCATTGGTTAGTCTTGTTTGAACTTACAGATGTACAGTTCCTACCAATATCTGGTCTTATTGGTTATAACATGAAAACAAGAGTGGATAAGAGTATATGTTCTTGGTGGAATGGTCCCTGCCTATTTGAAGCCCTCGATTCTATTGAAGTTCCTTTCAGAGATCCAAAAGGTCCATTTAGGTAGTGATCTATAGCCTATTTTCCATAGCAGGATTCACTGCCCACACAACTTTTATGTTTGGTTCTAGTTCCTGCCATCTACTAGTAGCGTGTATAACCGAATTCTTGGTCATCTTATTTTATGATGCATCTGATGATTTGTAATTGACTCCATAGGATGCCTATAATTGACAAATTCAAAGACATGGGAACTGTTGTTATGGGAAAGGTAGAATCTGGAAGTGTGTGTGAGGGTGATTCCTTATTAGTTATGCCAAACAAGGTGCTTTATCTTTGCAACTTTTTAATTATATTTATGTATATATATATATATATATTTTAATTTTTGGGATATGAGGATTTTATGCTTGGATTGCAGGCTCAAGTGAAAGTTCTAGCTGTATATTGCGATGAAAATAAGGTTAGGCGTGCAGGACCTGGTGAAAATCTACGGGTTAGATTATCTGGGGTTGAAGAAGATGACATGTTGTCAGGTTTTGTCTTGACAAGTGTTGGTAAGATTTGCTTTAATGCAGTTTTGTGATAACTTTTACAGTCCCTTTCTCTCGTTTTAATTGTTTGTTTTTATATTAAAATTGAATTGTTTTATTTTTGCATAAGTTTTGGGGTATAATGTTTGTTTTTCCTTCATGCAGTAAAATCGATACCAGCTGTCACTGAATTTACAGCCCAATTGCAGATTCTTGAGTTGCTTGAGAATGTATGCATGAATGTCATTTTCTGTTGTACTTATTCGATAAACTAGTTAATTTCAAGTATGATGATTGTTAATGTAATATCTGTCTTGTAAATGTTGGTACTGTTTAGGCTATTTTTACTGCTGGCTATAAGGCTGTCTTGCACATTCATTCTGTTGTTGAGGAATGCGAGATAGTTGAGCTATTACAGCAAATTGATCCAAAGACAAAGAAACCCATGAAAAAAAAGGTTCTTTATGTGAAGAATGGTGCTGTTGTCATGTGTCGTATTCAGGTTCAGACTCTTACTTTATTTAATATATCAAATTGGGTATTTTGTTTTTTTGAATATTAGCTGCATTTGTTCTATTTTTTTTTTTTTTGAAATGGAACTGAATGAATTGCCAGATTGAGCAAGTGAGAAACTGTTAGAAAGCACTTGTTGCCGAGTTGGTTTCTTTTCTTTTTTCCATAGGGGTAGAAGTAGAAATAGTAGGATAGCATTATTGACTAATGATAAACCACTGTCAACTCTCTTTTTGGCGTTCCAGATATAAGAAAAATGCTCTGATAAATTATAAACAGGCAGCTAGTGCCAATGTTTCCGAACAGATTGAACTTAAAACATATTAACATAATAACATGATTCTCTACTCTCTCCAAAGTGAGTATGTGTGATGCACATTCTTTCTTTGTATGTTCTTTACTCTCTCCAAAAACAGAAGATATTTTGACTGAATTGATCTCCATTTGTTTTGGGCTTGATAAATACTATTTTCATGTGCTTCTTAGGTTAACAACTTGATTTGCATTGAGAAGTTCTCAGATTTTCCACAACTTGGGAGGTTCACTCTTCGTACTGAAGGTAACAGACAGAAGTTTTTTTTTTTTTCCATTGTTGATAAATTATTATTCTTAGTGGTTGAGTCACATGAATTTTCATATCTACAGGAAAAACTGTTGCAGTGGGAAAAGTCACTGATCTTCCTTCAAGCAGTAGTACTTAAAAAAAAAATTGTTCTTAGAGGTGAGAATTCAAACATTGGTTATTTCTGCTATGTGAAGGTTTTATTATATCACTGTTATTCTCCTGCAGTATTATCATCCGATGTAAAGACAAAAGAAACCACTGAGAAAGAATAAAAAAAGAAGAAAAAAAGATTTTTAAGTTGATAAATCAATTTGTAATACTGAAATTTAGTCTTCTAACAGAAAATTGGAGTTACTAAGGTTTTTCATTGGCTGATGGGGGTTGGGATTCTTTTTTCATGAAGTATTCCCATTGTTGCATCACCTCCTTTATTGGAGATTCATACTGTTCAAATAGCGGGTCTACAGTATTGCTGTTGGTGTGGCTTGATCACAAGTCTCCTCACTTGTATCTTGTAGGCTAGTTGGTGGAACATTCTAAGATGTGGGGAAATACGTATCAATGTTGTTCAAGCATTTATGGAGTTGAAAATGGGTTTTCTTGTGAGTTGCGATCATGCACCTTTTAAGGGTGGGGATCACGTTGTGGAAGCATTATGCAGTTTAAACTAGGTTATTCATAGTATTCCATGCCATTCGATTAATACAGTTGATTAGTGCTAGGAGTAGGCCTTTTATTTGCTATTTTTTACCTTTTTTCATGAAGTATTATTGTTAGCATCTTGGTAACATATTACTGATTTACCTTTGACAGGCAGTTTGACAGGACACAAACAACTTGTGTACCAAATCCTGTTGAGTTGAAATAGGATCACCGAGAACTCATTAAGAATTGTCGCATTACACTGCTCTTGCTGTAATAGTGTTATGGTTATTTTTGCCGCTCCTATTGTGCTTTTACTGGCATTTTATGCTTTTGATATGAGATGGGTGTATATTTTGAACTGATTCGCAACCCATTGTTCATTTTAAAAATACCAAATTATAGTTAATGGTGTTCATCAAGTTTTGATTGTTCAATTCCTTTTTTTTTTTTTTTTTTTTTGGGTAGCCAGGCTTTGGTTAACGTCAGAATGGTTGTCGTTGAAAAAACATATTTTTCTTAAAACTTACTGGGTGATAAAAATATTTGGTTGCTTCACCTTGCATCTTCCTAATAGGATTATTGTGATATTGTAAATTCATATTACATTCAATTTTGATATGATGAAACTAGTGTTAGCGAAGTTATGGTCAGATTGAGATTCAACTATCTTGGTGATGTATTTTTTAAAACCAAACAATAGATGTTAAATATCATTCTTCTCCTTTATTCAATTTATAACTAATTTCCTCTACTTCACAAATGAAAAACCTGCCTTTGCTAACATTAATCCAAGCAAACTGAACTTGGTTGTGAAAATCCTTGTATTAGTGAAGCCCAGCAGGTACAAGAATCCGAGTGAGAACTAAAAAAGAATATTATTTTTATTATTTATTTTGCGGCATTAAGTTAAAAGTCTTTTAATTCCAGTGATAAGAAAATTCGATAATCTCAAGTAGCAAAAAGTTGACAAAATGGATTATTTCAATTATATAAATTTACACTCAATAGGCCATAGCAAATTGAAGTTTATTTAAAGAAGAATCTTCAAGGTCCTAACAAAAATTTGAACAAAACCATGCATACGATAAAAGATGCCAATCTACACCATAGTTGGCAAATGTACAACAGCTTATGCCTTAGCTTTGTGTTGTTACACGGCTTTGCTTCTCCTCTATACCCGACTGTGAAAATCTTTGCCGAAGAACTTCAACAACATTTTCTATCTTTACATCTTTCAGCCTTAACAAAACCATGGCATGGTAAATCACATCTGCCATTTCTGAGGCAGTGCGTGAACTGTCCTCTTTCTCCTCCAGTGTTCGGCACAACTCATCTGCCTCTTCCCTGCATTAGTAAACTGATCTCTATGTAATTTGCTCATGGATAACATTAATACGCTAAAGATTTGACAAGCACATATGTGCTAAATCTTCTAAGCATGGATATGATCTAACATGCTGTTCATTACTGGTTTAGCACTACTTTTGTTTTTTTTTTCCTTTTTTTTTCTATAACTAGATCTACTTTCTACTTTTCTCTATGGGACATATAATACTATCATAGAATATGTTAAACAGATTATATTACCGGATTTTTGAGCACAACAAATTTTCATCAAGTAGCAGTCGTTTAGTCCACGAGGGCTTTCCATTTTGCCCTGCTAACTCTGATTCTCGTTGGGAAATTGTAGACTCTAATGAGTATAAAGTTGTCAGTGCCAAGTTATTTTGTTCAACCTGCCAATACAGACCAAGTTAATTCTTTGAACTTGCAAAATAGTATCATATAAGGTAATGCAGATCTAAAAGATTGTAACAACAAACTGGTTAAAGACTAAGTGCTGCTTACTTCTTGCTCCTTCAAAAGATCACTTATTGATGTGAAATAGCAAGTCTCTGACCCAGTGTGGCAGGTAGGGCCATCAGGCTTTCCAAGGTAAATTATCTAAAGGAGAATTTTCAGTTAAGTCAAACTTAATAATTTAAGCAATAAATAAAGACGTCATACAGAAAGTTATTTAGAACGTACAGAATCACGATCACAGTCCACAAATATGTCATGAACGTTGATGAAATTTTTGGAGGTTTCTCCCTTTGTCCACAATGCTGCCCGTGATCGACTGAAAAATGTTGCCTTCCTAGAAGTGATAGTTGTAGCTAGTGCATCCCTGTTGATGAAGCCTTGCATTAATATCGCTCCAGTGTCAACATTTTGAGCTATAGCCACTGCTAAACCTTTGTCATCCCATTTTATACCGTCCAACAATGAATCGACCTAAAAATTAAAACTTTTAGATATTTAGTCCTTCCACTTAGAAGTGTGGTTTTTCAAAATATACAGAAGTTTGAAAAGAAGACATAGACAAATACAATGAGTATCACAATACTTAACTATAACCATGCTTCTACATAGTGAAAAGTACTACAAACATACCATATTTTCACACATCATGAAACAAAATTCCAAAATCAAGATAAGTTGAAATAAATGCCGATTTGATTTTTAAGAATAAAATAACGAAAATCAAGAAAAGATAGAGACAGTGGACAAGGGATTAGAAAATAAAGGGCTTTCACCAGTCATCACTCAATAGCCTAGTTACGTTACATCCAACTTGCAGAGAAAACATAGGTTATGGGTGCTAATCAAACAATCATGTGAAAGGAAGCTAACATTCCTAAAGCAATTTTTGTCCTCTAATAACAGTAGATACAGAGCAGCGTAAGTATAAATCTGAATATGCTTTATAATAAGAAAGTGAAATATAATAGCTTTTGTAAATCTAGAATTGGTAGAATACAGAATATGATAGATTTTGTAAATCTATAATTGGTAGAATACAGAGGAATCCCAAATAGAATCTTTTATATAGGTTTTTATTGGTGTCAAACCTAATCAAGTTTGAACTTCTAATCTAAAACTTCACAACTTGTCATAAATCTAGATGTACTTCTAAAAATTAAATTTTAATTTCATATTATAGAAACTTTGAAGATGACTTTAAAGAGCTTTAATAGACAAGCTCTTGAAATATGGAGTCCAGATGTAGCTCATGTAAGCGTTGTGCTGATTAGTGTGCTGATTACTGAGCAACGATGAACACCTTCCACAGAAATCAAACAAAATGGAAACCCATCCTCATAGTTTGCCTTCCTTTTCTTTTCTTTGCCAGACATGTAACAGTTCCTATGATCATATCAAGGGTAGACACCTGACCATGTCTGTTTACACTCATGGGACACAAACAAGTAAAATATTAAAATAATAGTTCTAAAGAAAAACACCTAAAAATTGTCTCTATACTCAAAATAAGGTATAAAAGCATAGAAAGTATTCCCAAATGCATATTTTAAGTGTTATAATCATTTGCTTCACTATCTCTTTAAAAATAAGAACAGATTCACAGCAGCGGTCCACTATATCCAAAACAATAATGGCCTCTGACTTGAATGTATAGATTGACTACTGAAGTAGAGAGGTGTTGAGAGATGTAGTGTCCAGATGTAGCTCAAGTAATAACTAAACACATAGTACTGGGCAACGATAGACTCCTTCAAGGGATGGCTAATGGATAGATTGGAAAACCAAGCCATCAATTCCTTCCCTTTCTTTTATTTTCCAGACATATAGCAGTCCCTACCATCATATCAAAGGTAGACACCTGACTACATCTGGTTAGACTCATGGGTTGCAAACAAGTAAATAATAAAATAATAGCTCACAGACAAACACCTAAAAATGTACCTATATTCAAAATAAGGTATATAAGGATAAAAGTATTTCCAGATGCATATATTAAGTGTTATTATCATTTGCTTACCTATCTCTTTAAAAAAAAGAACAGATTCACAGCAGTGGTCCACTGTATACAAAATAAGAGTGGCCTCATGCTTGAATGTATATATTGACTACTGAAGTAGAGAGGTGTTGAGAGATGTAGTGTCCAGATGTAGCTCAAGTAATAACAAAATACATAGTTCTAGGCAACGATGGACTCTTTCAAGGGATAGCTAATAGATAGATTGGAAACCCATACAATCAATTCCTTCTCTATCTTTTATTTCCCAGACATGTAACAATCCCTACCATAATGGATAAGATAGGCACCTGACATATGTCTGGATAATTTTTAGGCGCTAGTCGAAATATAATAGATGTAAAAAATAGTTAGAGCAGGAACAGTAATAACATTATTAACTGTTTTTAGGCATATTTAGCTTGGCCTGCAAATGCCTGATCAACTTACCGGTAGGAATTTGGCCATCAAATATTGGCATGAATTTTAGCAAAGAAGACTGGATTCATGGCTAATGCAAAGTCAGTTACTCATACAAGACTTCAAACCAAATCAAACTTTGAAAAATCCTTTTTCCTATCCAATGTCTCCATTCATTAATAGCTAACCAATCTAGTTTGTCTTTAGCTTTCATTTGACATGCCTTATCAATTCATAAAGCATGCATGATTAGATAATATTTCACACTTTGGCCAAAAAAAGATAATATTTTAACACTTCTCCATATAGGATCAGGCTTAAACTTATATTAAATCTGTGCTTTTGCAGAACTATTTAATCAACCAATACTGATAGACATAGCCCTCAGTTCATTCACATATTACCATAAATTAAAAAAACAAACAGATAATTCTACTAAAAACAGTTGGACGTTTCATCAAGAAAATGCACATCATTACATGTATAACTTATAAAACCACACTAAAGAAAAAGTACCTTTGATTGAAGGTAGACTTCTTTCTCTAATTTCCTCCAGGAAGCAAAAACAATAGCATTTATCTTTTTCTTCTTGCTGAATCCGCCACAAACACCAGCAGATAAGAAACTAGAGACTTTGAAAGGAGCTCTTAAAGATTGAATACAAGGGAGAGATGAAACCGCCATCAAAAGTTTGGCGTAAATCAACTATATTGTAAGCATGTTTATATCAAACTGATCCTGTAAATAAATATGATAAAACAACATTACTAAATAAACAACTGAAGAATGTTATTAATCAATTTAGAAAAAAACAATTGTAAGCTTCTTTGAAATGCTAAATGAGGGAAAAGTTGACAAACTTAATTTTCATATATAGTTGCTTCAGTGTTGTACCACAGCAAGAGCGGAAAACAAGCTGAGATTGAGATTTAATAAAAAGCAACACACATTATATTGCTTCAAGGGAACGAGTCACAGGGAATTAATCAAAATCCACACTGACCAGATAGTGAAGCATTTCGAAGCATGCATGGAAAAGAATGGGGAAAAAATGTTAGCAAGTAACAAAATCAAGAGCAACCGCACTTGGATAAGGATGGCAATGGAGCGAGGGGACGAGGTTGCTTATCCACCCCATCACTGCCTCCACAGATGTGGGTCCCTTTTAATTCTTTCAATGATAGAACATTATTATAATTTAATGGATGGTCACAATTTTCTTAAATGAATTATGAACAAAAATTATTTAACCTCCTTTTATCTTAATCTCAATTACTACAATATATATATATATATATATATATATATATTATAGCTTATCACCTTCATCGTCCTTGCTGTAAATAACAGAAAGACCTAAAAGGTCGCATGCTAATGGATTTGAATAAAAAAAAAACTGCAAATATAAAGTAATTATTAGCTCCAGATTGAGTATGACGTTCGAATATACTATTATAATTCCAACATGAGCTTAAGAACTGCTATACAATCATACTATAGGAATAGGAGCTTTTAGGGTCAGATTTCATAAATGAGAGTACAGCTTCCAACTTATAAAATGGTATAAATTATACAAGACGTGGAAGAATAAATTAGACACAACATAATTTTAAGGGAAAATGCCTCAACCAGAGTAAGAGAAATCAACAATCAGTGGGGATTTCTTCTCGGCTGCAGAAGAAGAAAAATAGAATGGCATTGAATAAGCTTCCAATTCATACTTACTTAATTTTGAAGGGCTGCAGAAGCAGAGCCACCATATGCAGGGTCTAAAGCAATAACAGTGCTCAAAAGACAAGACTCAGGATATGAATCTTGTGAAGTTGCTCAACCTGGATACATAAAAAAAAATCTTAACTTGACAATAACAAATTGGTATTTTCAAATATGAAGAGTAATAAAAATAAAAAAAAAGATTAGAAGGAAATTACCTAACAGTGAAAGACCTATAAAAGATGATGAACTCCAAGTAGATGGATTCAAACAAAATGCACGCAAATGATGACCGCCAACAAGTCGACGGATGCAAACAATCTATAGTAGAGAGGAAGAGTGCTGACGGCTCAGTTTAAAGAAACCCTAAACTTCGAATATATAGACAAGGCCTAGGGACATGATATTATAATTAATAATAATAATAATAATAATAATAATAATAATAATAATAAAAGTTAAATGCTCAATTCGATACTTTTAACTCAGTTCTTGAATTGACATTTTAATTTTAACATTTCTAATCATCATCTATTCAAAATATAACAATTAAAGATTTTTAGAATGGAATTTAACCAGCAAATTACACGTATCATTAATCAACAAAGCTGTAGAATTTTTTATGACGTGAAACATTTGGGTGACGTGGAAAATCAACATACTCTTTGTTTTTTTTCTTTCTCTCTTTTAACAACTCTCTTCTTTTTTCAAACTCAATGTTCAAATCACATCCCAAAAATCCAAACTCTCTTTGTTTCTTATAACTTTTATCAATTATATGGTTTTCTTGCTATCAAATTTGGCTGACAAGTTGCATCTCCTGAAATTTTTGTAAACCATCTGTCAAAATTATCTATACCAACCACCATCTTAGGCTCGTCAACCCAGCCGTTCGATCTTCTTCTCAGCAGCCACATCCCAGGACGGTAGCGCGGCTAGATCCTCCACCGACACACCGATCTTGGCGGAGGGCGTGGCAGAATCAGGAGCGCGATCTATGAGTCATTATAGTGAATTTTTACTTGTATAATTTTTAAAACATATCACTTATACTAGCTCTTCATGTTTACATTTTGACCACTAAAATTAATATTCAATATTCTATTAATATAAAAAAAAATATATTTATTGACGAAAATAAATATTTTATAAAATATGTTATTAATACATTTAAAATGAACTTTTAAATACAATTATTTAATATTTAAATAATATTCTACTCATTTCACACTTATTTCGTTAATATCTTAATGAATTTGGGGATAAGTTCAAGCCTAATCTAAGATATTATTATACTAATTAATAGTATATTTTTATTTAATTATAATTAAAAAATATATTTAACATATTAAAATATTAATTTAAAATATTTTAATATTTGAATAGTAAACAAATAAATGGACTCAAGCTTCGATCTAACCATAAGCAATTGATAAGCTACTCCTCTCTTAAAGATGTAAATGAAAATTGATAAGCTGGTCATACATGTAAAACTTCAAACAATTTATAATTTGTTTGGTTGATGCTTTTGTTAAAATTTTTTTTTATTTGAAAAAAAAGATAAATGTCAAAAAGCAAATATAGTAAAAATGTTAACTAAATCAAGCCTTAGGTTTAATGCCCAATGATTGATTTGTGCATTCAACGAGCTTTATATAAGTGTTTTTTTTATACAACTTTCTAAACTTGATTAACTAAGGCATAGTTTAACATTATTATAAAAAATAATTTTTGTGTTTAAAAACAACTTTTGATTCAGTCTCAATATTAAATAAGAATAAAATTTATAAAAAACAATAAAAAATGTAAACTTTCAATCTAAAAGCTTGTTTTTTAAATTCAAACAAAAAATTTCTTCAGAGAATGTTTTTGCAGTGAAAAACTTTAGTTTATATAAAAATTATTTTATTGTTTTTGATATTTTATTATTTTATACATATTTTTAGACATTTTAATTATGTACATCACCTTTCATAATAATATCAAATATTTAAAATTTTTAATCACTACATTTTTTGAACTCACTTTTTTAATTGAAAGATTGTTTGTCGATCAAATGTTATAATTTGAAACTAATTACATTAGAGATACATATCATATTAGTTAATAAATTTATAATTTAAATATTATATTAACAATTTTTAAAATTAAGATATTACATTAAATATTTTACTATAATTTAAGGATCATTCATAATATTAACTCATCAAATTAGTGTAGACATGACTTTGAATCTCAAGAAATTTAATCTTGAGACAAATATCAGACAAAATCATAATTTTATAAAGGGTAAAGTGTATTTCTAATCACAAACCTTTTATACAAGTTTTATTTTGATTTCTAATTTTTAAATTGTTCGATAATAGTCCCAAATCTTTTTATAAAGGTGTTAATACGATCATTTCATTAAATTTTGCATAAAAATAAAAAGGAATTTCAAATTAAAGTAATAGATTTAGAAATATTATTCTTTATTATCATATCAAAATATTTAACTAAAACGAAATAAAATTTATAAAATTTTTAGAAGGAAACGAAAGTATATTTTTATCCTTAATTTTAAAAATTCAACTTAAGATAAATGGAAGTATATTGGATCATGGCGAATTTAAATTCAGTGGATATACGTGTTTCGTCATTCTTGTATCCATTAATTTTTTTTATAAAATTTATTTAATAAATAAAATTAAAAAAAACAAAAAACAAAAAGCCAAATGAGATGGTAAGTGAATTGATTAAATTAAGATATTAAATAATATTTTTAATAATATATATGTGTAAAATTATATAAATAATAAAAAATAATTTTTTATATAAACCAAGGTTGAGGTGTAATATCTAAAACTTTATTGTGACCCCAGTTCGATTAAAAAAAAAAAAAAAAACTCAACCCAATTATCTAAAATTAAAGGAAAACACACCGATTAGATTGAAGTGAATGAAACCCATTGGATATGAGCTATTTTGTAATCTTTATCTCAATTCACTTTTTTAAAACAAAATTTATCTAATAAAAAGCAAAAGTAAAAAAGTTCAAAAAAAGGAAAAAAAACCAAAAGCTAGAAAAAAAAAGAAAATGAAAAAAAAGGATGTGCCACATGGACACCTGCAACAAGGTAGAAGACTTTAAATTCATCTTCAATCTGATCACATTTGAAAAAAACTTGATCTTATCTTTTTTTTTTTAAAAAGGACTTATGTTAAATTATTGTGAATCAAACCAACTGAATACAAATTATTTTATCAACTCTACCTTAATTGACTTGTTTTACAAAATTTATCTAATAAAAAATCAAATAAATAAATAAAAAGGCTAAAAACAAAATAAAAAATAAAAAATAGATTTAATAAAAATAAAATAAAATAATAAAAGTAGAGAATGGAGAAAGCCAGGGATGCCTAGTGGACACATTTTCCTTCTCATTATTTACAAAATTAAGTATTAGATATAATATATTTTGTATATACATATTGTAGACACTTAAATTAAGCTGAGTTTAATTGTATCCTAGGATTAGATTTTTTGAAAATTATTTTATTTAGTTTAAGGTTATTATTATTATTATTATTATTATTATTATTATTATTATTTATTTTATTCATTTGGGTTAATTAAAAAAAAAGTTTGGTTGATTTAGGAAAAAGAGTCAAATTGGAAATTGAAACTTGTAACTGCGTTAAAGTTGAAACTTTTGATATTTCAGCTGTACGTTAGGTTAGGATTAAAACATTAATTAAAAGTAAAAGTGTATTTGGATGAATTTTGGGTAAGGATGGAAGAGGAAGTTGATTTAAAGTATAAGATATAATTTAAGTGAAGTTTGAGGTTTAGAATTCTTGTTCTAATGGATTTAGGATTAAAGGTCTATTTAAAGAACTTCAAACAACCATTAACAAGGAAGCAATTGGTAGCAAAAGAAAGTAAAAAAGAGAAAGATTCTGATAGTGTTCCTTTTTAGACTTTTCTAAGATAAAATTCTTAGTTTAATTATGGGCTTAGACGTGATTTAAAAGTTAAGATTTTGGGAAAAATGTGTTTAAGGGATTTAGATTTAAGAAGTTAAAAAAATTTGGAAATTCTCAAAAAATTTTGGAAATTTTTTAAAATTTTGGAATTTTTTTAAAATTGAGTTTTACATTAAGTTTTTCAGCCTAGCTTGAAGTTTATGATTAAGTTTCAGGCATTAGTTAAATTTTTGGTGAGATTTTGCAGTTTTCAATATTGATTTTTTAGATTTATATATCATCGATTTTTGAGATTTTTCATCGAAACCCAAGCTCTTTTGAAGATTTTGGACGGTGTTTAACCTAGTCTAGAGAGAATGTAAAGAAATTGGAAAAAGAGAGAATGAGAAAGGGAAATGTGAGAGGGAAATTTTTTTTTTTTTGTTTATATACCTAAGCCAAATGACACCATTTAGGCTTAAAAAAATTTTAAAATCCACAACCCTGCCCAACTTAACGAGATTTGCTCGTTTGTTTCCTTATTTTTATTTATTATTTTAATTTATGTAATTTAATTAATTGATTTGATTTAATTATTTATTTGTCTAATATGTTTTTCTTCCTTACATTTATATTATTATTTTTTCTATACATATGTTTATTTATGGTCTATTTATATTTATATTGATTTATATATTGATATGTTTACTTATTTGTTTGGTTTTGTTAAAAAAATTAAGAATGGGTTAATTAAATTAAATTCTTAAGTTAAATAAAAATAATGAGTTGAATTTCATTTTATTCTCTTGTATTTTCTAGAAAGTTTTGTGTAAAATTTTGAGAATAAATATTAATTATCCTTATGATAAAATTCTAAAAATGCAAGAATGAGTATTTTTAGAAATTTTTAGGTGAGAAATTCATTTTCAAAATTGTTTATGCTGAGCTTCAAGTTGAAGGGTAAAATCTTAAAATCACAAGAAGGAGAAAGAGAATGGTTAAAAGCAAAGGTTGAGAGTTTTCTCAATGTTTGCACTATGACACTCAAATTAGAGATCGGTATAGGAAAAAATAAGAAGGAGAAAGCATGAAAGTGTAAGAGTGTGAAATATCTAAATAATACTTGAAACGCCCTATCTATAGTTGAAGGTGAGGAGTTTTGGGGTAGCTTAGGCTGCTTACGATCAATCTTATAATCAGGATGACCTGGCAGGCTAAGTTGACTTGGATGTTGATAATCTACTCAGAGAGTAATAAGTCAGCATGAAAAGGGGTCTTTTAGGTAAGTTGATGAGATGGCCGAACTAACATGACACTATACATTTTAGGTTAACCCAAAAGTCATAAATACCCTTGGCTATTTGCTGACAATCTCTAATAAGAAAAAAAATCATTTTACCTTTGAACTTAAAAATGGCCATAAAATTTTGTTCTCCTACCAAGTAGTTTGAGTATCAGACTATTGAGTGTAATATTGG